ATGTCTTTGGCGCGGCACAGTGGGGACTCAGCCGAAATAGTAAAAAAATTGTATGAGTGCTTTAGATAAATTCTAATAGAGAATTTTCCAATCGAATTTTCCCACTGTGCCGCTCCAAAGACATCGGCGATCCGCGACCACCGCTTCGACGGTGCTGAGGCTCGAGAGTCCAGAATTGCCGAACAGACGAAACCGATGGGCAGCGGGGTCGCGGTAGAGACGAAGTACAAGCGAAAAGGGAATTGAAACCCCGCGCGCTCCCTCGGGACTTTTGGGTTCTAATGTTAGGACCGGCCATAGAACAGCTTTTTGGTCACTCATGCAACATCTTGGTATTGTATAGTCTTTGCTAATAGGCACCCACGCTAACAGGCTGGGGGCCCCATATAACGATTTTTGTCGCAGCTGTAGAGACGAGGAAGAGGAGGAGACAGTGGAACATCTGTTCTGCTCCTGCCCAGCTCTCAGCAGAAGAAGGCTACAGCACCTGGGCTCAGCCTTTCTACACGACATCTCAGAGATGTCCAAACTATGTTCCAGAAGGATAGCGAACTTTGTGAGAGCATCTGGATGGGATAATTGCTGACAGGAAGTCTCACAACGCAGGAAGGAATGATCCTATGCGGTATCACAACGGGCCGAAACCGGCCTAAGTGTGACGGGCTCCGGGCGAGCCCGGCAGCCGCCTCAACCTAACCTAACCTAACCATTGCTTATAAATTAAAGAATTTCGAACCGATCACTAAAATGCTACTCAAAAATCCCAGCGACATCATTAATTGGTATATTTAGTCGCTGCTAGTAACCCCGCATGTATTTCAAAAGATAATCGCGAAGCATTATACTCTTTGGAAATTCTTCTTGAAGATCCATCTCTTTACTTAGGCTAGGTTAGGTTTAGGCGGTAGCCTGGGGGGAGCGATAAAACCCCCCAAGCTCACTTGGACCTGTAAAAAGGTCCGTTGTGATGTCGCATTGGCGTGTGCCCCTTCTGAATGCCTAAAAACCGTAGGGAACAAACTGTTGCAAATTTAGGGCAGTCCCATCCGGAGGCTTGGATGAACTTAGACAAGGTCCCAGGTTTGATTTCGGAAAGGTCCGAAATGTCTCCGCCAAGCGCTTTTTCGATCGATAAGGCCATATCGATCTAGAGACTTTACAGGAGATGGTTTGCTGCCATCTCCCCTTTGCCTTTTGCTCGAATATTTCGTGCGTAAGAAGCCTACACGTAGCTTCAGGCACCGCTACCTACACCCTCTCTGATAAGAGAAGAATTGTAGTTCCCTGCCTGGCTAGCTCGTCGGCGGCTTCATTCCCCTCGATGTCCCTATGTCCGGGGACCCATGTAAGGAAGATATCTAGCTACTCTGCGATCTCGTGCAGAGATCTGCGGCAGATCTGCTCACCGCGTGAGTATCTAGGGATAGTTTGGAGGCGATGGCCTCTTTGATTGGCTCAACCTCCGCTTGGAACACACTACAGTGATCCGGAAGCCTGAAGCAATGACTGATGTTAGTAGCTCGTTAGTAGACTCCACCACCCACGCGGCCGTCTAACTTTGAGCCATCAGTGTTAAAGTGGACCGCGTTTGCAGGTCCGGTTCGCCCATCTCCCAGTCCTCCCTAGGTGGGAGGATTGATACCTGGAAAGGCGACGAGAGGTCGTCCCTAGGGGTATAGTAATCTGTCCTCTCTGGTAATTACGGTAGTCTTGTCAGGATTCCCGAGTGACCAAACGCGGATGCTTTCCATAGTTTGGCTTCCCTCATTCTGAGGCGGAGAGTGTTGCAACCTTCTTTCCCATGAGGTTTACGGAAAGGAGGTCCAACATGGTATCCAGGGCTTGGGGTAGTGCGTGGCCCGCCAGTTATGCATAGCTCTGACATGCGTTAAACTCTGCTGACAAAAACAAAATTAAAACCAAGAGCATGACCCTGACTGAATGACTGCGCAAGTTTTATAATATTCGTGGAGTGTTATTTTAAAATTTAAAATATCGGGCTAATTTTTTTTGTCAATTAAAAAAAATATGCCATAATATTCGCATATACACTCCCCGACACTTGAAAGCATTTGATGAAAATTCAAATTCACCATTTCTTTAGATTGTGCTGGAAATATTTGTGCTTAAATGTACATTTTTAGTGTGATTTATATTATAATTATTTTTTTTATTAAACATGCTCTTTTCAAATGGTTAAAAAATTGTATTTCTAATGGCAGTATATTGCGATTCCAATCGCAATCCAATATTAGTTCCACAGTCCGACCCATCTCCGCCTTGCGTACCATATAAACGTTCAGTTTCACATTGAAATTTCTGTTGAATGTTTAAATATTAGCCAAAGTGTATTAAAGTGAATATAAGAAATATATTGAAATTAAAGTATAGAAATTACCATAACTTGATTTAATATTGTATAATCTCTCTCAGTATACAATTGATCCTTATTTAAAAGTAGATGGCGCTTGAAATAGTAAATGACAGAGGGATCGTCACATTGAAGTGTTAGAGGTACATTCATTTCGTCCCTATCCTCTGTACTCCTATGTAGACAAAGCTTGATATCTATGAAAAATAGTTCTAAGAGAGATTTCTTAAAATTACCAGCGGCATTGAACAGATTTGCCGTTTGCTTCAGAGTGAAATCATTAGGTACTCGAATCTTTTGACAAATCGTTGGACACTTCTTTTTATTGAATATCGGTAGTTCATTATCGGACCGTACGTTTATATCCGACACACTCACACTTCCGCCAAAAAGGGCGCTGTAGGTGGACGGATTTTCTTCAACAAAAATGGGTAGAAGCACAGCACTCAATTGACCATGCAATTCAATAAAAGCAAGCAACTGCAGTGTAAAATCAGGCAGACGTTCGTTTCTTAGCTTTCTCAAAGAAACTATTAAATTACACCTTCTATTTAAAAGAAGATCTGCTGGCAATACATGAACATGGGCCTGATGGTCATAATACACCAATAGCTGCCAGTGGGTGCTATGCATTAGCAGCTGCTCACAGCTGCCAAGACTTAATTTGAAAATGGCATAAACGCAAGAACTATGAATACCCAACTCCTGAGCTGGTTGCACGAGCATAACAGCATCTGGACAAAGAGGTATCTGCCGATGAAATTCTAATGAAGCCTTGCAGCCTCCAAGAATCCATTTCCTATTTCTGCCCACCGCTACCAGTTGCTGTTTTAGATACTCCTTCTGTATGGCCAACTGCAAAAGGACTGGCTGCCTTTTATATTTCTCCAACTCATGGGTATTTTGTCGCAGTCGCTGTATTGCTGCTGGCGTAAAATCACTCATCAAGGATGTAGTCTTCTTGGCCGCTTCCACATCGCCTCCACAAAAATCAATGCGGTAGAACATGTTGTTAGCACTGAGACAAACCAATTGCTCGCTGTGGTTTTCCCAAGTGCAGGCCTGTATGCCGGGCACAGATTTGGCCGCGCTCTGAACAAGGCACTCGTCTAGCTGGGCGTTATATTTAACTCTCAGCCGCACTAACTGCTCTCCATTGGTGTAATATAAGGCCCCGTTATCACTGGTGGCATCAAGGTCATAGTCCAGCCATTCCGAGCCTGTGTGATGCATCTGGCGCTGCTTAATGCCCAATAGTTTTGACACGTACCATATGTCCACGCTGCCGCTGCTCAGAATGACCAAACAGAGATTCTGGCGAGGCAGAATGCGTATAAAGTGAATAGAGGCAGCATAGACACAAAGTAGTTCAATGTGGTAGCCTGCCTCAGCCTGTGTATCGGAAGCCAAGGCAAATACATGTCCAGCTATGCTGAAAATATATACATACTGCTGCTTGACCACGTTGTTGGCTCCAAACAAGCGCTGCATGAAATGTTCCGCCTCATCAGAGACTTTCAGTGTAGTCAAGGTGTATAAGTCGTTTTTCCAGTCGCACTGGAATATATTCTGTTCATCATAGGTTATATCGAAGGTGTGCTGCAGAGTACTTTCACCCGTCTCCAAGCCAGGAAGATCCAGGTAGGTCTCTAGCAACAGGCGCTGCTCACTCTCGCGAATCACGCTAAAGCCCTGATCTGTTGGGGCGAAGCATCTCACTCCAGTCAGCCAGCTAACAGAGTGGAAGGCTTTGATCGACCCAAAGCAATATATCTGGCCGTCCGACATTAGCAATATTGTATTATATTTCAGGGTGTGTATGCTGCGTAGATGGTTTCCTTTATTCGTGGGCAGGGGAATTCGTACTCTAGTCATTTTCACCTTGTTCGATCCTTTTGGTTTCTTGAAACGAAAATTTAGCAAATACAATTCATTCCATGTAATAAACACAGACTTGCAGGAAGGCGCCGCGCTGACGCTGATCAATCCACAAGCCCGGAAAAGAGTGTCATCTTCAATTGACCACTGCTCGTCGTCGCTTTGGCCCAAGGTAACTTTATTCTGGTCATGGCTACTTGTGGAGTCCATCTGGCAGTCTTAATTTAATTTGGATTGTCGCAGCTGTTCCATATACTGCGTGCACCGTAACTCTCTCTGATTGTTGTTATTATATTAATATATCGATATGGGTGATATTTTTTATTTTTGATACCATATTTTCGGTGCGATATTTTGGTCGACGACTATATCACCATGCATCCCTTCCGCAGCAGCTTCCCGAATTAAACATGAACAAGATAAATAATCAAATTTTATAATAAAATTTACCAAAACTCCGTATCGTGTAATCTTTGCGGTAAAGTTGTGAAGACAAGTGAAAATACACCAAACTTTCGCGCATATAATAGGACTAGACATCACAGCCTTTTAGCGCATACACATATGCAGAATCCTATATTGTTCTAATTTTTAATATAATTTTGTGTGTTTAAGAGGAGTTTTAAATTTGATATATCGACATGCGATATTTGTAGAGAAATTCATAGCCCCTGGTAGCCAATAAAAATCGGATAATCGCACAGAAATGGCATTCCGATAACTCACTCAATAGTAAATAATATTTTATTAGTAATATAATTCTTAATATAACCATGAATAGCAATTTTTTGGCGTTGCGTCCACTAATGCGCGCCTATCAGCGACGCTTTGCCGCAAACCTGACCGACCACCAGGCGGCAATGATGGCGCGCGGTCTGCCCAAAAGGGAGAAACTGATTGGAGTCGAGGATATTATAGTCGTAGCGTCTGGAAAGGGGGGAGTGGGAAAAAGTACCGTGGCAGGTATGAGCGTAAGATTGCAATTGAGAGATCGTAATGTCCTAATCAACTTGGTTTATTGCAGCTAACTTTGCCTGCAGTCTGGCGAAGTTGGGAAAGCGTGTGGGTCTGTTGGATGGAGACATTTTTGGTCCGAGCATTCCTCTTTTAATGAACGTGCACAGCGAGCCGCTATTGAATAGCCGGAATCTGATGATTCCGCCTCAAAATTACAACGTAAAGTGCTTGTCAATGGGCATGCTTACGCCACCCGATGAAGCCATCATTTGGCGCGGTCCACTAGTGATGTCAGCCGTGCAGCGACTACTAAAAGGAGCCGAATGGGGTCCATTGGATGTTTTGGTCATAGACACTCCTCCAGGCACGGGAGATGTTCATCTCTCCCTAACTCAGCATACACACATCACAGGTGTTATTCTGGTGTCCACTCCGCACGCCGCCGCTGTGGAGGTTACTCTGAGAGGTGCGAAGATGTTTGAAAAGTTAAAAGTTCCCATCTTTGGTCTGGTTGAGAACATGAGGTTCTCCATTTGCGACAACTGCAAGCAGCGCATAGAATTTTTTAAAGATGCTTCCTCCTCGAAGTCGCTTCCTGACAGGCTTATATCCTTACCACTTAACTCTCACATAGCCGAGTGCGGCGAGGAAGGAGTGCCTGTAGTTATAAAATACCCAGATACCGACTATTCCACACTCTTTACTCAACTGGCTGGACACATTTTACAAGTTATGGAGGAACGAAAGACCGCTTCAGGGCAAGATTTTAGACCCTGATGGCAATTATATGATAAACGTGTTACAAAATCATTGAATGACAAAGTTGTGCAATTGATTTATTTATTTTTCTTTAGTTTCTTCATTTTTTTCATGGTCTTTCGATGTGCGTATTTGTCTGTGCGTTGGATTACCTCATTGTACTTCCGCTTGTTGAACTTCTGGAAGGCCTCGTCCTCCAGAAGTTGATCGACAAGTGACTTCTTGGCCTTCCTAGTGTTCTTTTCTTTGTAGTGATCTAATGCCGAATGTTGAACGGTACCTATCTGGAAGTATTTGGGTAGAACTTTCAAGTCGTTTTTCTTGTAGAACTGCTTGGGATTAAGGACCGATCGCATCTGAATGATTTTTAGTTCGTTTCGCATTTCTTCGGTGACTTCTGTGGCTGGCAGATCGAACCATCCGCTGCCTTTAGTTTTTGCACGTTCCGCCTAAAAAATGAGTTTTTTAGTATATGATATACTATACGTACTTCATATTTGAACTACTGGTCTATCAGATTACTAAAGACGTCGTCAATGTGGCTTCTAGCTCAAGCCTTAGCAACTGCTGTGTGGGTCGACAATAACTTTTTAGCGTTTCATTATATGGAAAGAATATTAGCCCAGCTCTAAACTGTCTGCCTTGAACTTGACGACAGACAGCAGTCTAGCTCTATGGCTGTTGATGTTCCGTTGGCCTTACAGCCTCTACAACATGCTCCAACGTAGCAGCTAAGATTACAACGGATGAAACAGGAATAGCTAAAGTCTGCGATTTTGAGTCTTGTCACAGCAGTTGCCTCAAGCAGCGTGAGCCGAGCACTTGCTACGCCTATACGCGTAACTTCCGATGTCGAAAATTTCATCATTTGTGTGTGCATAAATATTATTCACCTTCTTCGAACCACTTACTCTGTTCATTATGGCTTGCTTTCTCTTGCCGAGAGTAGGCAGAGAATTGCGCTGCTCCAGACCTGGATCCAAAGCTCGTCTCGACCTTAGCATGTCCTTTTCCACATTTTCCAACCGAATGCTCACGTCCGGTTCACAGCTGCAATCCAACTGTGTCCCCCGCTTCAGCGGGTATTTTTTGTGTTTGCTTGAATTATCCACCGCCGCTTCTACTTTCCGTGTTATCGCATCCAGGTGCAGGGCCACTTTTGATGGGGCTGGCTTTCTCCCAGCTAACGAAGAATGCACAACATTGCTAATATCTTTGCTGCTCAACTTAAGCCCAAAGAGTTCCGTTTCGCCTCTTGGCTGCTCGTCATCACTGCTCCCAGATTCGCCATCTGATAGCAAGAACCTGTCTTTATCTTTTGTATAAAAAACATTTGGTCCTTGCTTGCTCTGCAACTCCTGGTCGCCAGTTTTGTCCACTAAAAATATGGAGTCCATTTATATTCCTGTTTCCCTTTTTTTTCACTTAATTAAAAAAGGCGCAAAACACATGGCGTGCTTCTGTTTTTTTCTACTGAACATTGAATAAATACCAAATGTGAACACCAGGTATGGTATTTTGGTATAAAATGGCATATTTCTGGCATATTGTGGCTATTTAAGGTATATTACAATAACAGGGCAGAATGTAATAGCTTTAAAATTATCTCAGACTCGGACTGCTAGTTTCTAGTGCATTATGGAAATGAATTTAGCTGAGGTACATTGAATGAAAACCACAAGACAATTATAATTCCGTGGCCCCACTTCTGGCTACACTACCTTGCACTTTCTGCATTAACTTTGGTCTCTCTTAAATACAACGTGTTTTAACGCAAACCAAAACAAAATCCGTTTCAGCAACAACCATATTAATATTATTGAGTGGAAATTACAATTATAATGAGAATATTGTATAGTACAACTCCAAGAAAGTGTGTAAGGAGCTGCTTAACTCGTGAAGCGTAGATCGGTAGATCGTCGCACATTGTACATTGCAAGACTGCTTTCGGGCCACATCAAATTGCGCACTATTGGGAAATTAAATAGTTATTAAAATGTCTGCCTACACAAGCAAAACGGGAGTGACTTCTATTTTAAAGTCGTTTTCTAGTGCCGACCGGGAGCGAGCTAAGGCTGCGGCAATCAACAAAGTCAGATTCGCCACTCCCAAGGAGAAGGGTCTTTTGGAATCGGTGCGTGCGGCACAAGGTGGAAATTTTCACCTTGTCAAAGAATTTTCTTACTATCTTTTAGAAGCGGATCTTGACGTAAGTCTAAACCTTGCAATTACAGGAAATTTTTTATACTTAAATTAACAAACCCATCGTCCAACAGGACGACGAAGTCTTACAGATCATGAAGGATGGACGCAAAATTGTGCACAGCTTGACTCCAGATTTTGCTGACGTTGTTGAGGCTCTGCTTTCCTTTAACTGGCGAAAGCGCTGTCCCGAAGTTGTTGAAGCTTACACGGAATTCAGCATTGACATTATGGTGGCCCATAACACATATATTCCCATAGGATTATCAAAATGTATTGTCCATTGGATACCCGGGGATCTGCAAGCCGCCGACTGGGTCAATGGATGTCCTGCGGAAGGAACGCGCACTGAGCTGAAAACAGTTCATGACATCCTCAACCGCATTTTGACCGCTGTTCCGATGGCGTTCGATGTTGTTATAGATGTTATATCCGCTAAATTTCCATACTTCAAGAAACCAGCACATGTCACAGCTGGCTACCTATACAATGTGCTATGGTTAATGGAGTACAAACCGATGTTTGAGGAGCTCGTTTTGCAGCTGGTTTTGCAAAAGTAAGTATCTTATGGTGCGAATTGGTATGATTTATTGGTTATTGCCCTTATTTGATACTATAGACTTCTAATATTGGATGTAAACGCTCCAAGAGATGAGATCGTCGAAACAGACGAGGACGAAGACAAAATGGACGAAGGCGGCGTCTTTACAATAGATGATATAACCAGTGACACTGTGGTCAAGCAGCCGGAAGATTCGGTTGTTCATCCCATCGGACACACGCTAGACACATGTCTGTCTATGCTTTACAAGTTTGTGGACAGTAAAACTAGAATTCTGCCCGACTGTAGCGAGGGTAAACGGTGGGCTGCAAATCGCTTCTTCAAGACGCTGCTGTATATCTTCGACGAGGTCTTGCTGCCCAGTCATAATACCCATCATGTGCAATTTGTCATCTTCCATGTGTGCAGCATTCGCTCGGCATATTCGGAGGCTTTTCTAAGCTCGCTCTGGCTGAAAGTGCAGAATCCTAACGTATCGGCTATTATTCGCCACGCTGCTGTCGGCTACATAGCTAGCTATTTAGCTCGTGCTAAATTTGTCCCACTTAGGTAAAGAATCTATGAAAGTGAGTTCCAAGTTCATGAATGAATATTCTGATCTCTCTGTTCTAGCACAATTAAATTGTATCTCAACGAACTGAGCAACTGGGCGAATAGCTACATAGGCGACTCGGACCAGTACAGCAGTCAAAATGGCTCGTTAAAGGCCAACATGGTTTTCTTCTCCGTCTGTCAGTCGATTTTCTATTTGATTGCCTTTCGGGCAAAAGACTTGACAAAGGGTAAGGCCTTAGAAATTATAATTTGTACTTGACTTAATTGTTGTTTTTTGGTCGTTTATAGATTTGCACTTCCTTCAATTGCTTCCCCTCTCCCGCATCGCCATGTCCCACCTAAATCCCTTGCGATATTGCCTACCAGCAGTGGCTACTGCATTTGCTGGTGTGACGCGGACCCATCAATTGGCCTATTGCCATACAGTTTTAGAGCGTAACGCTCGACGAAAGTTGGCCACCGTCTATGGCCATGATAAGGCGATGCCTGAGGAGACGCTTGAAACATTTTTTCCCTTTGACCCCTACATGCTGAAATTGTGAGTATAAATTAATTCGCTCCCTTTCCATTCCCTTCCTTTCAACCTATGTAAATCGACTCTTCCAGATCTAACAAATATATTGAGCCCAACTATCTAGTCTATAAGGCGCATGAGATGGAAGAGAGCGTTGCGACAGAAACTTTTCGGCGCAAACGCGGCGACTCTGAAATGGTTGAGGAAGACGACTTTATACTGGCAGACAAACGTCAGAGGATGAATGAACTTTCCAAGAGCCAGGAGTTCGACAAGCACTTTCATTTCGGAACTTCGCCAGGCTTTAATTCATAATATGTTATACATAGTATTGATAAAGTTAAAATATACCTTCGCATCTGTTATTTTTTATATGAGTGATGAGGGAGGTAATGCGCGATGACGCTCAGCCCGCATATGTTCGATCCTGTGGCCCGAAGTTCGAAACGTTTGCTGACAAATCTCGCACTTGAAGGGGCGCTCGCCGGTGTGGAGACGCAGGTGAATCTGTAGAGCCGACTTAGAGCCGTACAACTTGCCACAAACTTGGCAGTTAACCGAAGGTCGTTGAGAAGATTTGAGATGGGTTACCAAATGCCTAGAAAGCGTTGATTTAAGGTTAAAAGCTTTATGGCAGAGGTGGCATACGTGCGATTTGGTATTAGTGTGTGTTAGTAAATGTCTGGATAAATCGTTTGTATTTTTAAAGGGTTTTCTACACTCGAGGCATCTATTCGGTGAGCTATTTTTTCTACAGTGTGGGTTCACTTGCTTCTCGTTTAAAAAACGGCTTAAATGCGTCAACATATGACGCCGACAGTTGAACTTTCGTTTATATATCCTACTGCAGTAAACGCATTTGTAGCTTTTGCCTGAAGTAATACTCTGCTGTGGGAACGGCAATAACTGTTCAAGTTCTGCGAGTTTCTGACCTCTTTCCATTTTTCGCTGCTTCTTTTCGTTCAGTTGGCAATTACTCGATTTTCTATGCATCCGCTTTTGATGCTCATTCAACTTGGTTCGCGTGGAGAATCGTCGAAGGCAAGTGACACATGGATACGGCCTTTCTTTGGTGTGCGAGCGTCGATGTCTGAGAATTGATAGTTACCGTTATAGTTCCACCGCCCTTATTCAATTCTCGACAAGTTCTTACCTGATTAGGTCGTAAGACTTGAAAAACTCCTTGGCGCAAAACTCGCAGACATAAAAGCATTTATTCGGAGACCGCTGTATTCTTTGAACGGTTAAGGTTGTTAATTGGCCAGAAGGATCCAATCTATCCAAAACCGCTACGATTCTGCACTGTGGATGCTCTTCCATAGTAGTTTGCATGCTATTTTGCGTAGGGGAATTTTGTGGTCTAACTAAAGACTCCATTCCACTCTGCAGGTCTAGAAGAGCACTCAATGCTTGATGGGCGACTTGATCGGCATCTCCAAGCACAGGACTAGCTTCTGCTCTTGTATGCTTTATGCGTTTGTGACGCTGTAAAGAGCTCTGCTGGGAAAAGCAGAGTGAACAGGTTTCGCACTGCAAGAGACCAGACCGCACTCCTTAGAAAAATCGTCACAGTAGACATGTTTGTATGCACGTGCACCTACTCACTGCGTATGATTTTTCTTTAGTATGCACAACTTGATGGCGGCGCAAGAAAGTAGGTTTTGCGAATTGCTTTCCACAAGTGTTACACGTACTATAACTCATTATTTTGCCCTGAAAAATAAATCTCGATGCGACTGGATCTAATCGATAGCAGCTGTTTATCGAAGAGAGATGCCAACTCCTTTCAACAATTTTCCCCTTTTTTTGACAATAACAAAATGCCTTGTTTACAATTGTATAGAAAATCGATTCTTTTTTACACTTGAATTAACGAATCTACACAAATAGCAAACACAATCCGTTTATTAATGAGCTTAGGCAATGAATTCGTATGGAATTGGTGCCAGGGCGATGGGCTCCTCCAGTTTCTTGACGAAATGCGCCTTCTTTGGCTGCTCAGGCTGACGCTTCAGAGTGACCCACTGTCCCTTCTCCTTGGCGTCCTTGAGCAGGCGCTCATTCTCCTTCACGCGACGCAAGAAGTCCTCACGGCACTTTGAGTGGTGAATGTGCTCGATGCGCACATTAACGCGCTTGGCTAGGATCTTGCCGCGCACACGTTTGTTTACAATGACACCCACTGCATGCTGTGTTACATTAAAGATGCGGCCGGTCTTGCCATGGTAGGCTTTGTAGGGCAGACCCTTTTGCACAGCACCATGTCCCTTGATGTCGACAATATCTCCAATCTTGAAGACGCGCATATATGTGGATAGCGGAATCACACCATGCTTACGGAAGGGGCGAGAGAACATGTCTCGGGTGCCGCGACGATAGCCCTTTGAGTTGGTCATTTTGTAATGTGTAGTCCCCTGCAAAAAACAGCACTGTTAGAAGCGTTTCGCATTTCATTTACATAGCACTCCAGCGTAACATTTTACGCGTTTTGCATTGCATATAAATTAATTATTTGCAGTATTTTGGGCACAAAACCAGCTAACCTTTTACGTATCGACGTCCACGCGGTCGTGAAGTTGGGAAAAGAAAGAAAGATGGCTACCTGAACAGAGTTGCCACGCTGTTGATTTTTTTGACGTTCGAACAGGGCTGCACGACTCTTTTTCATCACTGTCTTAACGATTAGTTTGGCGCACAATTGTTTTGTTTGAAAATGTTCGCAGCCCTGACTCGGTTCTTTGAAATTATTTTTTATTATTTGGCAATCGTCATAGGGTCGACCAACAATTTGGAAAGTAAAACTAAGCAACATGCGAATTTAGGTTCTATTTCGTTTATCCTTTTATTAGGGGAAACATTTTTTACAAATTCAACAGAAAATTAAAATTACTTCGCGTTTTTACGTTTGAGCACTTTGGTACACACATATAATAGTAAATATCATTTAATATCGTTATACAATTTTTTATATTTTATCTATCGCATATAAGTGTTATATAGGCATGTTCCTATGTATTAACTTGTCCGTATTGTTCACAAAAACTCTAAGAATGTGGCGTCACGTTAATAAATGGAATATCAGAGCACAAAACTATAATAGATGTCATGTCATTGTCGTTTGTCAAATACATCGGAGATTAGGTTATACATAAATTTGTATATATAATAAATATTGTAAATAATATGTATATGTTTGCGTATACCAATATAAACAGCACATACTTTGACGTTCAACATAAAAAATACGATTTAACTTTAAGTGTTCTTGCCATTATAGTAATTAGTTTAGATTTAGAATAGTAGTTTATACATGTGTCGATTTGTTTGGTAATTATGGTTTGGGTAATACATGCATGCATTACGTTTGCCTGTTGGCTTGGACTTTAGAAATCCCACTACATAAGCAGTCTCTCTCATACTCGTACATATGTTTACTACGTAGCCCATGTCGATTAGGCTGCCTTCTTGTGTCCGTTCTCCAGAGGCTTAATCGGCAAACTGCCACAGTTGCAGTTGCTCTCGTCGTTGGGCAGCTTTTCCTGCTGCTGCTGCTGTTGCTTCTGCTGCTTCTGTATCTGCTCTAGGCGCGTCTTATATATGTAAAGGGACTGCAAGGGGACATGCAGGAGCTCCACAATTTGCGTGAAGTCTACCACTGAAAGAATTCGGAATCAAGTCTACTGTTGTCTATCGATAACAATCTCAGTTGTGTTCTCACCGTCATCAGCCGTAATATGACCGTGCCGTATTAAGAAGTCGATCACCACTGGCGCTGAGGTTGTTTTAAAGTCCGGCGTAAACACTCGCTCCACACATTCCTTGGCTGGTAGCAGCTCAAAGGCCTGCACCTCGCCATCAGCGTTGTGGGGAACGAAGTCAAGAGGCAGCTCCAAGTCGAACACGTACTCAGTGTTGGGGAAAAGCCCTTGTCGACTTTCAAAGAAGAAAGAGACACACCCGGCTGACACTAAGTTCTTGACAAGATCACTTGGAATGGATGCCTCCTCAGCGGCTTCTTTAATGGCCGTCTCCTTAATGCCAAAGCCCACAGATAGGCCGCCCCCCACCATATTATCCCACTTGCCTGGCCAGGTTTCTTTGGTATTGGAACGCTGCTGCAGCCAAATGCACAAGCCTTGCGTCGGATGTCTCACATAGCCGTTGATGTCGACGCCATATTTGCGTACTCCAAACAGGGGTGTTGCCGCCCGCTCCATTTTCAGCAAAGCCCTGTGATCGGACTTCACCTCGAAGTACTCATCCCGCCATCCCTGCAAAGCCGGGAACAATTCCTCGCTGCGCAGGTTACGCAATACTTTCTCCAGCTGCTCTGTGCGCTCATTATAGTCACGGAATGCCGGGTTCAGCTCCACCAGTCCCTTGGGTGGATGAAATATAATATTTGCATTAGCAAAGGACCTGCAAATGGCATTCGGATAACCACAAAAGACCTACCTGTTTCGTCTGCTCACAGTCACGTATGCAGAACACTTCAGGATACTTAACGAGCTGCTTCAGAACATCCGATTTGATGAGACCAACTTGTTGACCCTCAACCAAAAAAGGACGTATGTCGCCCTTGTGAAAGCCTGTTAGTTGTAAAGATGATCGTTAATTGGATATGTTTATGTATGCCGCTAGAGCTCTTTCCAAGTCACAGCTCAAGCAGAAAGAAATTATAGCGAAAATTATGAATAGATGTGTGCATACGTATGTATGTACATATGTCTGTGGTACCGTCTACTCAAGATAGTACTCGTATTATGTAGTACAGAGTATTATTTACCACGGGATTGCTTGCTTCTAGTCTCTTATCCCCGAAACATTCATAAATAGGTACATTAATAGCAAGTGACTGTACACTACTCACTCTATTTATTAATATGGTGCAGTACACAAAAACCGTAAATCATAGGAACTTGATTCTCTTAATCGGGTGATAAAGATTTGTTTATTTCTTCTATTGATCTCAAAGTTGTCAAACAGTACAAGTTCATTTAAGTATTTATTGCAAACCTTTCAGCATGCTCATTCCGATTAGATACGGCCTTTATGGAGAAATGCGATTAGATTCCAGTTTACACCTGTTTTCCTGGATATACTCCCAAGCACATATCGTTCTGCAGATACTGATTTGTATCCAAGCGAGTCACGTTTGAAGAGTAGACATATAGTTTTGACAATTCAATTCAGCTGTTTAACAAATTGTCAAAGGTCGTTTCCGCGAATTATTTGGACTTACTTTAGATTATTCTGAAAAATTCTGAAAAGCACTACATTGAACCTGCTTATCACGAGGAATACTTCCCACAGCGATAGCTGAAGTAAGGGTATTCCTTATTTAAATGACGACGACGCGACACATAAATATGATACATGTGTATGTTTACCGTTAACATGTGTCGGGAAGTACTCGAGAGACGGCTCTGGATGTTAAAACTTGGCTGTGAGAGTGTGCGTTCTCAGAGTTCCCTCTGCCGTTGCTCCCTCCTGTTTATTATACATACACTACACATATAATATTCATATACATGCATATGTCAAAAGCTTTGATCGGCTCAAGTTGACGCGTAGAAAATCTTATGGCAACAAACAAGGAGAAATATTAGTTGATAGTTGACAATAACACCCAACCGCAGCGGAGCCAAGGTTCCCAATTATAAGAAACCAATTAGGCTGGCCGCATTATGTACACACATATGCACAGATGTACATACATATGTATGTAGAATGTATATTTAGCTCTTGTATTCCGCTTGATAAAAATGATCTTGCATAAGAGCTCTGGCTCGATTGGCGTTCTATTGAATTCTGTTAGCTGCAGTTATTACAGTTTACAGTGAATGTAAGCTGATAGGGAACAGAATATGTAGGTAGTTGTTGAACAATTTGGTGATTATTTTAGAGGTTGCAGGAGCTCCGTTCTGTCGAGCGCACCAAGCAGCAGGCAGCAGGCTGCGGAATCAGAAACGCACTGGCATACACATACGCACCCACACAGCCAAGTAAACAAACTAATCGATAAACAGCCGTACTAGTACATGTACGTATGTATATTTACCGTCTCTGAATCAGTTAAAGTTAACACTGGCTGCCGCAGCCCCTCTCTTCCACAAGCACCACCCACACAATCCACAATGGACATACATACGCACATATGTATGCACACATCTACACCCCGAAGGCAACGACCAAACCCATTTTCAGGGCCGGGTTTTTTGTGCATTTTGCGGAAACTGCACTTCTTACCTGTCAGATAGAAATTGTTAAACTTTTGCGCCAGGATCAGCAGACGAGACAGCTTTACTTCGGTTGAAGACATTTGTTGTGAGTTCAAGGTAATAGCTAAATAAATACACTCCAGAAACGCCGGCACCTTTTTCTCCCCTCCTGACTCTCCCGTCCAGAACTCACACAACAAACGATTTCTTTGGTTGAAGCCTTTGATTTTATGTTAGTCAGTTGTTGTCTCTTCTAGGCCCTGCAGCATCCGCGTACGCACACACACGCACTCACACACTTTACATATAACTATCTTTATATATTTAAATTCTGAAATGGGAATTGTTATCTTAAGAACAACAAAACTCGAAGCAACGAACACAGCACAGCCGCCCCAGCAAACAATGAAAACAAAACAGTCATGGGCTCTATCGATATGTGTTATATCGATACAGGCGATATTTTTTTTATTAGTATACGATAGTATTGGTTTGTGATATTCCCCGAGTATATAGATGTGTCAGTTCATACAAAGAAAATGTACCACAGATGTCCCAGCTCTCTGGTCGTATTGCGTATTTCAATGTAAATTTCATATATTTATATATTTTTCATATAAATTCATGTTTCGTTTTTATTTTAAGTTTCTTTGGCGTAGGAAATAAAATAGAAGCTGTTATTTGTTTGATTTATTTATATGGATGCGTAAACTATTTTACAAAATAATAAATATTACAAGAATATAATTGCACATTTATATTCTTAGTTTTATACAGGTTCTAAGTCATATAAAAACTATTTAAACGCCGTCGGTTCTTGAATTCGTTGGTGCCGTATTTTTAGCTTTATCAACAAAATTTCATTACAACTTTTTAAATATTATGATATGGTTATATGTGCATGGAACTTGGAATTTATAAAATATATCGATATTTTCGATGGCGATATTTAATTTGTTCAAATTGTATGTATCGAAAGTGCTCAAAATCAGGCGTGCTCCCCCCCATACGTCACGCTGACCTGACAAACTAGGAAACTAAGAAAACAGGAGCTCACGGAAATCGTTTGCATCTGTAGTGTGAAGCGATCTTTTATACAATTGACCGGCTGACTGAACATCAAAATTAGTACCATTCCCTTGGCAAAGCAAGCAAACAAATTCAAAAATGAGTGACGACTTTCTGCGGAAACCATTTTCATTGGCGCCCGCGCCAGCCGGTAAGCAAAGAACTACGTTACGCAATGTGACTCGTTTGTTACATATGTACTAGCTGTGGATTTACCTGTTGGTTTTTCCTGAATGAAAATACATTAGTTTAATAATTCTTAATCACACGGTGCAGTTGAAGAAGCAACAAACTCAAACTACACATCTGGTGCAAGCAAATTTAGTAGCGCTCCGGTCTCGCCATACCTCAACTACGATTCACGCTTCCTGCAGCAGGCACAGCCCGAGTTCATCTTTCCCGAGGGTGCCAACAAGCAGCGTGGCCGTTTTGAGCTAGCCTTCTCCCAGATTGGCACTTCGGTTATGATTGGCGGCGGTATTGGAGGTCTAGCGGGAGTATACAATGGTTTTAAGGCCACCAACGCGCTCAATCAGACGGGGAAACTGCGGCGAACTCAGTGAGTACATTATGCTATTTAATTTGAAGATGCTCTAATACGTGATCTCTCCAATCGCAGGTTAATCAATCACATTATGAAGCAGGGTTCTGGAACGGCAAACTCTCTGGGGACCCTGGCGGTGCTCTATTCGGCGTGCGGTGTGCTATTGCAATACTCTCGTGGCGAGGATGACCATGTCAACACAGTAATTGCGGGCTCTGCCACAGGCCTGCTGTATAAATCCACAGGTGAGTGGTTCAACTTCACTTAAATAAAGACAATTAATCGATTCGATGCCTTTTTAAAGCTGGCCTACGGAGGTGTGCACTTGGCGGTGCAATTGGCCTAGGCATCTCGTCTCTCTATTGCCTATACCTGTTAGCGCAGGAGAGAGGCACTAACTCAAGTCCAAAATTCCTGTAGATAACGATGGCTAAGCTTTCCAAGCACGAGCACACAGTAGACGCTTCGATGGGCTTGACCACGTAATATGAAGTTTTGTTTTATATTATAAATACATATATATATATATCTTAGGTTATCAGGACGTATATGATCGTTTCATATTCATCAGGCTTTAGACTATAAGAAAAAAAACGCTTGTAGCTAAGAAACTACACACAGTAGAAGACACTTCACCAAAAATTGTATAAAAGCTTCGGATGTGTGCTTTAAATGCAACGTGCTGTAAAGTATATTTTATTGTAACCAAAGAAGCCCCCGTACTGCACTACACTGAACCATAAACCAGTTTATGTACATTCGTCTAATAGTCAAGGTCCACGGAATCGGCTCCAGTGAGGGTCAAGACTTTGACAGCCTTGCTGCCCTCGTCTAGCACGTTATTAGCTGGAGCCTCGCAGCTGGTGTCCTGTGTGGAGCATGTATGGCAGTGGCAGTTCACCGCCTCCATGTAGTGATACTTGCTTATGCCTTCATCGGCTTCGGGGTGACAGTTCTTGAGTATAGCTTCCGCTGGCTGCCGCTGGGCGTGCACGCATACTGGATGAAATGAGCGTTTGTATGGAAATTTCCAGTCCGATATTTCGCTAGAGTCACAACGCCCCCAACAGGACCAAACGCTCACATAATCCCAGCACTCATGTCCCAGCAAATCGGATTGGGTCACCTTGTATGTGTATACGCGTCGATGGCAGCCCAACGGAGCTACCGTCGGACCACTGTTGATCGGTTGGAGCTCTACTAACTGCGTGCCGACAACATGCAACAGGGGTGTGCCCAAGAACAGCACCAAAATTCTGAAAGAGAGAGTGAAATGTGCTTTAGACAGAGTGTGGGCCCCCTTGCAATAACCGCACTAGGTTCTTAGTGTCCCTTACAGAACTGCACAGCCAGCCATTTTGCCTTGGTTTCGAGCAACCGTCAGAAAAGTGGACTCTTCGCTGCCGACCGCGTAGTGGCTGACTGTGGCGCCTTACGCCTTCTTTTTATATGCCAGCCCAGCCCCGACTACAGCGACTGCGCTGCGGCAAGCTCTTCTATGCGTCCACCCACCCAACTCGTCCCAAGTAAGTGTACAAATAAACGCTCTAATGGTTTCGAGCTCAAATTTTGCATATTCAATTCCGCTGATTCGAGCCGTTACCAATTTGAATTCTAATTTGATGGCAGGGATTCATTTACTACTATTACAATGCAGCGATTTATTAATTTGAAGTCTGCACAATGCCAGCAATTTTGATATATGTACCTTCGGTAGAATTTTGAAGTATACTAAAATTTTGATTTGCGAAGGGGCTGAAAAATCCCAAACTTGGCGGAATCGTTCCTGGCAGTTTGCTTTTGATTAAACGGGAATATCGGCCGAAAGGGTAAACTTTTTAAGTTTTAGAGATATCCAAAAAAAAAAACGGTTCCAACGGACGTGGGCTGCGCTGCATGATTTCTCTATCGGAAAGTCTGCAGCCCACGCTAACGCATCCTCTAATATGATATGTGTCTTTTTGTCTCGGCCGGGATATAGAGAGATATTCACAGAGATATAGCAGGTTACGGAGTCAAGGCCGGGGGAAGGTTTCGGTGCGCCTTCTATGGCACCAGCGCCTAGGCGCGACGACGAATTTCATGATGCGAACCATACCGCTGATTACGCAGGTGCACGCGAAATCGCCGATTATTTTCTTGTCCGCGATCGTCCACCGCCCGATTTTCTTGTCCTGGGGCAGGTTGTGGTTGGGCCTGGGCTTGGGCTTGGGGTTGAGCTTGGGCACCACCTGGAGCAGCAATGGCCGGCTGCCCATGGGGTAGAGGGGGTACGGGCAAGGGCAAGCCTAGCTGCTGCAGGGCCAGTTGCGGCTGATCATGACCATTGCCATCTTCGTCATCGTTGGGACTCTCGTAGTCATCGAGGGCCGCGTCGTTGGTTGCCACCAGCGAGTGTGGCGGATTTCCATTGCCAACTTCGTCTCGGGCCATGGCCGAGGCCATCAGCCGCTGACGGCGCTCCTCCATTAGACGATCCCTCTCCTTGTGTATGTAGTCCCGTTTGTTGGGCAGTCCAGCCACATTATTGGCCGACAGGGCGGAGCGCACGATGTTCATATCTGTGGCCTCCATCCACTCATCTGTCTCGGCCACATAGCACTCGGTGTGGGATATGGTCGAGACGCCGTTGAATCCCCCAATGGCGAATATCATATCGTCTATGATCTCTAGACCGAAGTTGCTGCGCGAGTGATTCATTTCCCTGATAAATTGCCAGGCCTGGGATTCCGGGTCAAAGCGCTCTCCGGTGGCCAATCGGGCAGTGCCATTGAATCCCCCAATCACATACAACTGGCCCTTGAAGGCGACACAGCTCACCCCGGATCGACGGTGATTCATGTTCGCTATCCGCGTCCATACATTGGTCGTCGGATCGTAGAACTCGGCGCTGTCCAGGCACTCCTGACCATTGAATCCGCCAGTGGCATAGATACGCCCCTTCAGGGTACAGGCACTGGCATCAGACCGTTGCATGTTCATGGGTGGAATGATGGACCACTGATTTGTCTTGGGGTTGAAGCGCTCTACAGTGTTTAATCGATTGTGTCCGTCGTAGCCCCCGATCGCATAGATCTGACCATTCAGCTCGGCCACGCTGACGTAGCAGCGGCGGCAGTGCATTGGGGCGATTTCGCTCCACTTCTTCTTCACGGCATCGAAGACCCGGCATGTGTTGAAATACTCAACTCCGTCGTAGCCCCCAATGGAGTAGATCTTGAAACCGATCACGGCGGTTCCGTGGTATGCGCGGGGTCCTGCCGGGTCTTCGGCATTGATGTTCACCCAGCGGTCAGCGCGCGTGTCGTAGGTCTCGATGCATCCCTTTGAAGTGCCACCACTCCAGCCGCCAATCGCAAAGATCACCTCGTGCGGCAGGCGCGGCATGGCCAGCGGCGGCGTGGTGAGCTTTGGTTGGAAGGGCATATTAAAGGGGACGTATAAGTAGTTGCTGCAGACAAGAGAGAGAGCATTAACCATTAACATTACCTCATCGGCCTGTGGGTTTAGAAAGTCCAGATCATACATGAATTTAAAGGTGTCCACTATCAGGGGCTTGGCTTCATCGCACTGCAGGACATACGGGTGCTCCTTGACCTCCTCCATGAAGCACTGCAGATTGCGATGGGTTTCGATTAGAATGGCATCCCGATTTGGATTTGGAGTTTCGGACTGGTGTACGCACCTTTGGGGTCATTAGACCCAAACGTACGCCTGTCATCAAGTGGGCAACGTGCTTTTTACGGTTCTCGGGATCCCGATCTATCCACTTGACACACATCTTCCACACGTAGTCCTCCTCCCGCGTGTTTAGGTCATCGTCGCTAATTATGGCGTAAAAGTCCGTCACGTTCATGTCCAGTATGTCCGTATTACGAGCAGCAACCTCCGTGAAGTACCGAAGTGTGTAATTGCGCGCCTTCACATGCAAGTCGTCCAGGAACCGAAAGCTGTCACCAATTAAATATGTAAAATCCAATCAAATCAAATCAAATAAAAAAAAATCAATTAAAATTGGCTTTGGCTGATGGGAGCCAATTATGAGGGGATTAGTGCACTCCTCTGCAAGCGGCGCAGTGCCTTCCCTTCCCCAACTCACCGGGCAAATCCCATGATGCTGACACAGTTCTCCGGTGTAAGGGTGCGGCTGAGGTACTCCTTGCACTGCTGGACCAGCCCCACCATGCCCACGTAATCCGCACATATTAGAAGCTCGTGCACGTTGTCGTCGCAGATGTTGGTCTTGCGAAGGTAGGCGTACTGTATGACACAGTTCATGATGGATGCTCTGACGCCTGGTATGTTGACGACGTGGATTTGTTCGCTGGCGCCCCCCTCGGCACCAAATCCTCGACTTACGGCATTAAAGCCCGTAAACTGTGCGCTAGTTTCCGTAGAGAAGCGGAGATTTGGTATGGGCTTGGGGGCTTTGTCGGACTTGACTGCACTTGACTGGACTCACCGAAAGTAGGAGCTGCACGAGCACATGATGGCACGATGAACATTGAAGGCATGCTCCCCCACTGAGATCTCGGCATCACACAAAAGATTAGCCTCGCGAAGTTCATTGAGGGTATTAAGCGCCTGATCGCTTACAGTGGGGGCTAAGAATTTGCTAGAGGAACTCTGGGTGGACCCGAGCCCGAGACCACCATTGGACAACTCATCTCCTTGATGGTTGTCCTCGATGTCCACCTCCACGGCTTCAAGCGGTAGATCTGGTCCCAGTGGAACGCCCTCATTCACACCGTGAAAATGGTTGCCGTTTTGGTTACGATGCATTTGGCAGTGTCTCGATTAAAGGTATCTGCTTGCAGCAGAGCACGGAAGGAAATGTATTGGTATTAATTGGGCAAAACTGTGTGGGTGTAGAAATACGGCTCAATAAATATTTAACGACAACAAAGCTGTTCTCGCCACTAACGAAATGAGACTACAGAGGCCAACTGAACTGAAACTGAGCACATACTGAGTTCCTTGTGTATTCCTCGTACTGTGGGCCCAGCACAAACACCTATTCGATTATGACAGCTATTTTTGTTTAATGGAAATTGTAATGTCCCACTTGATCTGTATTTATTATTAAGGATAGCCTTTTATTATTATTATTAAAAGGTGTTGTACTTCGACCATATATTGACCTTTTTTGTTCATCGGCCCAAGATGATGACATGATTTTAATAGCACAACCCTTAATAGGATCGTCGACTATCATACTAAAGATTTTTTTTTAGCAATTTCGCCATCTAAAATATGTATGGTATCAAAATAATTTGTCAGATCTTCAGATACGAGGGCTGTCTTTTATGTGTATAACTTTTTAATCTACATAAGACCAACCTCTAAATAAGGAATTGTAGTTTACTACGAAAATCCGATCGCTCTCAGATCGCCTCAAAATATCGAATCCCTTCGATGTGTCATCTGCCTTGCAGACATGTCCTGTTAAAAAAAAAAAAAACAAAACCTAGTAAACTATAAACAAAACTATTCCGTATTCTGAAACCATCAATGTACACATTGAGAATATCTGTCCGACAATTCTTCATCACCAATTCAATATAATTCCTTCGACGATAAAATGTCCGATTTAGCCATGTTTTACTATTCAACGATTTAATCCTACTACTGCAAGTACCATAGTAAAAAACAAAATGCTGTTCCCAGTGATAAATGCGAATACACAGAAATCCCAAATCTGGAAATGGAAAACCACACACGAGGGTAAGCAGGTCAATTTTCTCATAAAAATTTCTCGATATCAATAATGAATCAATAAGTCTTTAATTTTCTAAATTGATACAGTTTAAAGAAGGCTTTTAAAAGGGATGAGGGAAGATGATGGCTGACAGTTGACATTGGTTGTTAGGGCTATTTCCAGTTCCTTTTCAATAAAATATGCATGTTTATTTATAGATCTTCTTTATTTACGCCTTGAGCATAGTTTAATATTCCAGAAGCAAATCATTCCCTACCATCCCACACGGCCATTCAATTTTATTCAATTGCCGCGATGGTCAACTCTTGGGCAGCTCTGCGCAGGCGTCAAAGTTCCTTCAGCGCGGATAAAAACAAGGCGGATATCTGGTAGAGCCACAGTTCCCAAGATGAGGTCGGCCCAGTGGTTTGTACTTCTCTGTTGCTCTTTCTGGTTCCTGGGCGGCGAATGCAGTTTGGCGGGCAAGGATGCCTGGCTGCGCCCCGGCTGCCACAAAGTGGGCAACACGCGCAAGATTTCTATCCCTGATTGTGTGGAGTTCACCATAACGACCAATGCCTGTCGGGGATTTTGTGAATCATATTCTGTGCCGTCGATTCCTTGGGCAGGGGCCTCGCTTACTGGACTGTTCAAGCCACCGAAGCCGGTGGTAAGTGTCGGCCAATGTTGCAACATGATGAAATCCGAGGAGGTGGGTCGACTCTTCAATTTTTTCTGCTTCCCCAATCTCTAGATCCTGTTGTTCCTTCCAGATACAACGTCGCGTACTGTGCATTGAGGGCATTCGAAATGTCACCTTTAAAAGTGCCGTGTCTTGCAGCTGTTATCATTGCAAAAAGGACTAGACCCAGTTTTTCAAACAGCATTGAGCTAAGTGTATGCCTGAGCCACTTGATTGATTTTGTTTAGCAATATGTATACATAAACTATCCTGTAATTGTTATTTCCTCGATTGGCGTGTTTACTTTTTGGGGTCACCACAAAAACAACCTATCAACTTGCGCACCGCAAAGTATACAGACCTAACAAGTGTTCCTCTAGCTCGTGTATCCTGCGATATGCAAAGGAATGGACTAGACTAAATGTGCACAATTTCTTTACCCTAGAAGAGGGTATTTCTACATTGGTAGGAAGTTTCCACCGCACAGAACGCATCTCAACTCCGACTCCATATGTAAAGTACAATCGTCCAAAAAACAGAACTGTTTTGTTTATATAGATCATAGAAGCAAACTTTCACTTTTGTATAAGCCTGTGTGTGGTTTTACTTAACTCAGTAGGAGTTTGTCCCTATTCGGATCACTTTATTGGTGATAAAAAACTTCTGCATCCAGAGCTAGCTTCTTTACGGGAGGTTTGTCTCTTAAATACATCTGCACGAATTGTATCTCCATTAACGACAGATTGTAGCGAACCCATGCATGTACATACATATGTAATACTCTGTTATATATATAAACTCATACATAAGCGCGTATATAAACGCAGTGACATAAACAACTATTGCAAATTGATTTCTTGCTTTTGGCTACAAAAATGATCCGAGGGGGTGGGGCGAAATTCTGAGATATACGTTGTATAGTGAGATCTAACAGAAGTGCGGATGCTTAATTTGGTTACTCTAGCGTTAATAGTCTCTGAGATTTGTGGATGCCCCAGATTTTCGTCCTTTGCGGGGGCGGAAGGGGGTGTGGCGAAATTTGGACACGAAACGGTCAAGGTCCGATATCACAGGAGTGTGGATACCAAATTTGGTTGCTCTGGCTCTTATAGGTTCTGAGATCCTTGAACTCATATTTTGCAATTGGCAAAACCGACCATGAAACCTGTGTGTAAGAGAGAGACAGAGCGAGAAAGAATGAAATTTTTTTCTTGATTCTGGCTATAATAATTATACAATCAGGTTGAGATTTTACACTCTAGAAGATATGGTCATCCTCTAAGATTCTGCATTTTTGGTTTTATCGTATCTTTAAAAATGTGGATGCCACAGATTTTCGTCCTTTGTGGGGGCGGAAGTGGGCGGTTCGAAGTTTTGAAATATTTTTGTAGCAGTGACATATCACAGAAGTCTGGATCCAAAACATCGTTGCTCTTATAGTCTTTGAGCACTAGGCGCTGAAGGGGACGGACAGACAGACAGGGCTCAAGCGACTCGGCTATTGATGCTGATCAAGAATATATATACTTTATGGGGTCGGAAACGATTCCTTCTGGACGTTACACACATCAACTTTTAGCACAAATCTAATATACCCCAATACTCATTTTAAGTATCGGGTATAAAAACAAAAAACAAAACAATAAAACTAAGGCACTGGACAAAAAAAAAGAAAAAAGGAGGATTTAAATACTGAGTGAGTAGAGGATGAGTGGGTTCAAAAATAAACGAGGGGGAACGTTGTGAGTTGCTGCGGACACCGCAACTCTACAGTTATACCCGATACTAAGTCAGTATGGCTCTCCTCCGGCAGACGCCGCTAATATTAAGCGACACGACAAAGAATGCGTGCGAGAGAGACAGAAAATCAGTCTGAGCGTGATGTCACGCGCTGCGTAGCCAATGCAAATTGATTTGTTCCTTTTGGCGACAAAAATTATCTGATCTGATCCAAATTCAGCAACCGGATAGATATAGTCATTCTCTATGATTCTGCGTTTTTAGTTTTCTCGAATCTGCAATATTGTGGATGCAACAGATTTTCGTCCTTTGTGGGGGCGGATGGAGGTGGGGCGAAATTCTGAGATATACGTTTTATAGTGAGATCTTAAAGGAGTGTGTGTACCAAATTTGGTTACTCTAGCCTTAATAGTCTCTGAGATTTGTGGTTGCTTCAGATTTTCGTCCTTTGCGGGGGCGGAAGGGGGTGTGGCGAAATTTTGACACAAAACGATCAAGGTCCGATATCACAGGAGTGTGGATACCAAATTTGGTTGCTCTAGCTCTTATGGGTTCTGAGATCCTTGAACTCATATTTTGCAATTGGCAAAACCGACCATGAAACCTGTGTGTTAGAGTGAGACAGAGCGAGAAAGAGTGAAATTGTTTTCGTGATTCTGGCTGTAATAATTATACGATCTGGTTCAGATTTTGCACTCTAGAAGATATAGTCAGATTCTACGATTCTTCGGTTTTAGTTTTCTCGTATCGTCGAAATTGTGGATGCCACAGATTTTCGCCCTTTGTGGGGGCGGAAGTGGGCGGGGCAAAGTTTTGAAATATTTTTGGAGCAGTGACATATCACAGAAGTCTGGATCCAAAACATCGTTGCTCTAGCTCTTATAGTCTTTGAGCATTAGGCGCTGAAGGGGGCGGACAGACGGACAGACGGACGGACGGACAGACAGACATGGCTCAATCGACTCGGCTATTGATGCTGATCAAGAATATATATACTTTATGGGGTCGGAAACGATTCCTTCTGGACGTTACACACATACACTTTTACCACAAATCTAATATACCCCAATACTCATTTTGAGTATCGGGTATAAAAACGCAGTCGAATAAAAGTAAGACAAAGAAGAGAAAAAGCCCAACTTTTAAAATTACTAGCCACCAACGAACCACCACGTTGGGAGACGGCCAGCGAGATATATAACAAAATAGATCATATAGAGTCTTGGCAACAAGACCAAAAACGACAGAAAAAAAGCTCCCCCTCTCACTCAAGTATCAAATCAATATTCGACAAAACTAAAACATCTCCTCCACCCAAAAAAGAACTACCAAAAATGTAAAAAGAAGTGCCCGGCTGATTACGGAGGCCCGCTCTACTACGTCGGCTGCTTTGGAACGTGCCAAAGCCCTGAAAAAACCGACAGCGCTGCAAAGACCGCCCAACATAGGGCCTGTGCGATGACCAGCACCGGACCCGCCCAGAGCGCCAAGCTGGGCCAGGAATAAAGTGCGAGAGGCATAGCACCGCCTCTTGCGCCAGCGCAGGAATAAAGTGCGAGTGGCATACCTTAGTAAAATGGCTATATGTGCAAAACTTATTTTCAATTTTTCTTAAAAAGTAATAGATGCTTGTTGGGTTTGACTATGCAGTTCTTATCTCTTATTGTTGTGCTCAGTTATGACAAATTTTCGTCTTCTTTGAACTCCATTTGTGGTACCATTAGCTTAGATAAGAGATCAAGCTCGCGCTCTACGTAGAAAATAGATATATGTGCAATCATGTCTATTCATGTTTTGAGAGTCGCAGTGTTAGCATCTTTTCAGTAAAAGTGACAAGCTGATTGATTCTGTACGTAAGCACTCATTATTGCTTCAAAGCAATACAAATTTATAAAAAAAATTCCATTTTAGTTAAAAATGCCACATGGTAAATAATTTTCTGAGGAAGAACAGGGAAGGATCAAGAGAATGAAATTAGCCGGCATAAAAACTGGTCGAATAGCTTCGCTAATGTATCGACATCAAAATACTATTTCAAAAGTGTTCATAGATCCAGACGGTTACCGCATAAATCGTCGACTTGGCCCAGTATCAACCATAATATAATTGACAAAACGGCACTTGGGGCAGTTTGCAACTGAAGACCTAATGAGCTGCAACAAAATCGAGGCAGAACTCGGGTTAACAATCCCCAGGCAACGTGTGAGCCAAATTTTGAACGAAAATTTTAACCTGACATATCAAAAGAAAGTGGGCAAACTCCTCTAAACTAAACGTCATAATGATGCGCGCATGTCATTTTTGAAAAACACAAGTTCTGGGACCCCGAATTAGAAAATTTCATTTTTAGTGATGAAAAAAAAATTAGTTTACACGGTTCAGATGTCCATCATAAATATTGGAGAGACCCGCGTCATCCACGGGCAACTTGCTACAAGCCAAACCATGGTGATGGATCGCTAATGATATGGGCTGCCTTTAGTGCTAAAGGGAGGTCTCCAATATGTTTAATATCCGGCCGGATGAATGCTCAAGCATAGATAGAATTGATAGATAGTGAACCTTTTTCATTTGCTGAGCATTTCCATGGTGATCAATAGACATTTCAGCAGGATAATGCGCCAATTCATGTTTCCCGGGCCTCAATGGACTATTTTGAGACCCACAATAAACTGCTGATTAAGTGGGCTTCAATGAGTCCGGACTTAAATCCAATTGAGGATCTGTGGGGAATCCTTGCAGACAAAGTCTATGCCTGTACAAGGCAGAACGATACATTGAAGCAATTAAAACAAGCGATAGTTGCAAAATGAAACAGGATAGAAATAACAACACTAAAAAACTTTCCGAACTCAATGCACAGTGGGCTGCAAAAGCTTCAGGAGCATAAGTTTAACTCCATTAATTATTAAAAGAGTACATATTCCCATAAACTTGTTCCTTGGAAATTTTTTTCATACAAAATATTTTTTGCTGTTATACCCATTTTCTATGTGAAAAATTTACAATTATTTTTTTTTGTTATTAAAAAAATTGATATTGAATTTCTTTATGCCTTTTTGTTTTGTACTTATTAACAGCTACCCAAATAAAACGAGGGGGAACGTTGTGAGTTGCTTCGGAGACCGCAACTCTACGGTTATACCCGATACTAAGTCAGTATGGCTCTCCTCCAGCAGGCGGCGTCTAATATTAAACGACACGACAAAGAGTGCGTGCGAGAGAGACAGAAAATCAGTCTGAGCGTGACGTCACGCGCTGCGTAGCCACTGCAAATTGATTTGTTCCTTTTGGCTACAAAAATGATCTGATCTGATCCAGATTCAGCAATCTGATAGATATGGTCATTATCTATGATTCTGCGTTTTTAGTTTTCTCAAATCTGCAATATTGTGGATGCAACAGATTTTCGTCCTTTGTGGGGGCGGAAGGGGGTGGGGCGAAATTTCGAGATATACGTTTTATAGTGACATCTAACAGGAGTGCGGATACTAAATTTGGTTACTCTAGCTTTAATAGTCTCTGAGATTTGTGAATATCCCCAGATTTGCATCCTTTGCGGGGGCGGAAGGGGGTGTGGCGAAATTTTGAAACAAACTCGTCTCGGTCCGATATATTAGGAGTGTGGATACCAAATTTGGTTGATCTAGCTTTTATAGTCTCTGAGATCTAGGCGCTAATG